CACCATATTTTCTACTTCTAGCTTTGCCCAAATAAAAACTAAAAATTTGCCCGATTGGCCGTGTGTATTGCAAGCTAGGGGGGGGGGGATTCCACCACCCCACCCCCATCTCGTACGCCTATGCTCTGTAATCACTTGTGAACTACGACTCTATTTTAATTGTATATACTTTAACGTGCATGGGTAGTTCACGTTGTGCTATATATACAGTTGGGAATAGTATTTCAGGTCATATTAGTGAAACGAGGATCAAATGACTGGCTGACAACGACAGCATTGTATTTATGAAGATACTTAAAATTACAAATAGTTGCCAATCTTACCACTACAATCTTTATTTTCCAAAACACGTATACTGTTTCCTTTACAGTTCAGTTTGAGAACACGTTGTATTATGTTATCCGAACGCCTTTTAATCTGATACAGCTAAAATTTACTGTTTCTATAAAGTCTTTTCTGTACATCTAACTGTAAAAACTGCTTGGCACTACTATATTTTAATAACTCTTTTAGGCTTAACTCGTTACACTTTTAGGCTTAACATGTCTTAGGCTTCCAGTGTCTCAACAACATTCTTGTCAAAAAATAAAGAGCGAAAAGTTTTGGTTTACAGTGCAAATCAAGAAACCTGACTGGACACCTTAAAACAAAAACAAACAAACACGTTTTTCAGAAAAATCAAAGTAAAACTTTTAAGAAATGAAAATGTATTTTTCAGAGCACGAAGTTCGAAATTTATTGAGCGCATTATTTACAGGATTCTTTATACGAAATTTGTTTCTGTCATATACGGTGAGTTTAGGAACAACGTGTTGCATTTCACAAATAGTAACTAAAGGCTCATTCATATCTTATGAATGTATCATGGGTAATCATTACTAAAGGCAACATTTTACAAAATAACTTTATCAAGACTAACATTAAAGTACTTTCAACTTTTACAACAAAAAAAACTAATAAATATCTAATGAATATCATTATATTTTGTTTATTGCTTTTCATCATTTAATGGAATTTATAATGTTCCAAAACTATGTAGCCGTGTTTCCGTTCATATAATTTACAAATATTTTCTTCTATACATGGCCAGAGAAGCTTTCTCGAAATAAAAACAATTTCTGTATCCCTGACTGACTCACTACTTCTTCTAGGCTGCCGCTTACTTCCGGTCGCTCTTTTTGGAATATTAAGAATCGTTTTTTAAGATTCTGGCCTCTTATGTCCTTAAAGAAACATCATGTGGGCTGTATATTCACAGAAAATACGAATTCGTCAAGTGTCAGAATTGGCACACTAAAGATCCGTGGTCTCTTGCTGGTATGTCGAATCTGACTGTTTTATGACGTCATTTGACGTCAGAAGCCGAGACTTCCATATAAGGTAAAATGGAGTGAGGGCTTGCTAAGAGAGAGATAGAGGTATATGTGGAGAAGTATGTCTGCACGTGGAGTGAGGATTTTGGGAACACATATATATCCACATGTTTGTAAAACTTGTACTTAATTTTCTGTTTCTCACTATTTAACTGGAATGCTTCAAATATTTAAATTTTATTTAATCGTTAAAAACACTAAACAATTAGCATACAAGTGCTATTTATTAGTATTCAAAATATTTAATATTTCTGCAGCATAACCGACCCATTTCTTTGGAATAAATAGCCTAATAATTAATACTAACTTCTGATCAGAGCAAACTGTGTACTTAGGGCGAAACAAAAAATCAACCTGGCAATCAGTAGAATTAATTAAATACAGTTTTCTTAAGTTTTTAGTAATAAAGATTATAATGTCAAACGTTTCGCTTTACAGCTTTCTCAGGGACTCGATATTATATTCAAACACATATTCAAGTCATATAAAGATAAAAGTTTACGACAAGCTATAATTTAAAAAGTAAATTAAAGTATTGGGATATTAGTAAAACAAGGCTTAAATATCATACTGTGAAAAATATATTTTATTATCTATCTATCAAAAAAGTATCCATCTAATGAGTCAGTTGTAACTATACGGATTTACTATGCTAAAATCCGGAGTTCGATCCCGCAATGGTCACAGCAGATAGCCTAATGTGGTTTTGCGCTAAAGATATAACTGAAGTTTCCATGTTATGTTATATGTACATGTAGTAGGTTACAATTCCACTTTTTTTTTTCTTTTCTTAAGACTCGAATTCGAGTCCCTAGAGGACACTTACCTATTGTAAATCAACACCACAGAAACAAAAAGTAATTTTTACATCCGGATGTGATAAGGTAGTTGAAACATTAGCATCTTAAGGTCAAATAAAAGAAAAACTTTAAAAACTGTTTGGGATAGTAATAATATTCTATTTGTAGAGTTACAAATAAAATGTTTTATCACGATAGTTTGAAAGAAATCCACTAGGTGTTATTAATTAATATTATCTTTCGACCACAGCAATAACTACTTGGGTCAAAACTAAAAATCAACCTGGTAGTGAGTACAGCTAATTAAATGTACTTTTTTTAAAGTTCCTATTTATAAAGATTAAAAGGCATTGTTATAATGTGACGACCAATCCCACTATTCGTTGGTAAAAGAATAGCTCAAGAATTGATTGTGAATGGTGCTTTTCCTCTACTTTATCACTTCCAAATTTGGGACGACGAGCGCAGATAGACCTCGAATGGCTTTGTGAGAAATTCAACAAAACAAACAAATTATTATTATAATGGTTAGAGACGGCTTGAATGGGTAATGAAGAAAAACTTTAATATAAGTTTAACATAACAACAAATGTACAACGTTTCGACAAGGTTTTGTCATCATCACATAATACACCTGATGATGACAAAACCTTGTACATTTGCTGTTGTGTTAAACTTATATTAAAGTTTTTCTTCATTACCCATTCAAGCCGTCTCTAACCATTATTAGTCTCAAAGTGAGTTCCTCGTCATCGAAATTATTATTATGTTATAACGCTAAAATCACCGTTATTTGTCATTTTACAAGTAGTCATTAGAAACCTCACTAACGAAACCACTGTTTATTTTGAAAAATTAGCTTTCTGTTTATAAATTTAAATTATGAAAATGTTTTGTACAAGAGTTCAGAAATTACTCAAGCATGTTAAATTACACTTTTTACTGATAATTGTAGTATGTTGTTTAGCTTTACCAAGCTATTTGTGCGCCATCTGTCGAATAAGTTTTAATCCAAATACGAGGCAGTCATCTCAGTCGCGTTACATGAAACGTATATTTCCAAAAAACAGGATATGCAATTGAAATTTGTTTCAATAATACACTATAATACTTAAGCCTAAAATACTGAGTTTTTTCACTTATTTTATTTGTTTCGGGGGTGATTGAATATGCCAGAGTTCTGAGAAGCAAGAAGGAATTCTTAATAGCCGCGGCTGTAATTATATCTCAAATCGGTCAATAGATGGAGGTATGAGCTAAAAGTTGTTACTCGAAAAAACAAACTCAGAGCCATTTTGCCGCGGCTAAAAAGATAGATGTTTACATCATAACACAGATAGAGAAATAGTTTACAGTTTCTAAGATATAATATAATTCATACTAAAGTGTAAAGACACAAAAATCCCAAGTATTACTTACGTAAATACATATCGTTTAAAATCAAATAACGTTTGTAAAGTGTATGGACTTTATTTTCATATCACTTACAAATTATAGTATTGTTTGTTTGATTTTGAGCAAAGCCGTGGCCTGGCATGACCAGGTGGTTAGGAAGCTCGACTCGCAATCTGTGGGTCGCGGGTTCGAATCCCCATCACACCAAACATGCTCGCACTTTCAGGCGTGGGGGCGTTATAAGTGACGGTCAATCCCACTATTCGTTAATAAAAGAGTAGCCCAAGACTAGCTGCCTTCCCTCTAGTCTTACACTGCTAAATTAGGGACGGCTAGCGCAGATGGCCCTCGTGTAGTTTTGCGCGAAATCAGTAAAAAATAACAAATTGAGCTAAGCCACATTGGACTTTTGGGTAATCGAATCCCAGTTGTTAGATTTGGAAGTCAGTATACTTACTGCTGTTCTCACCAGGGAGACTACTATAGTATAATAGGGAATTATAATATTTTATGAGGCTCTCTTGTTTCTTCATTAAAACAGATGTTAGCACTTGATAAACTGTGTTCTAACGTCTAAGTGTGTGATTATGTCTAGACTTTTCTTACCACCTAAAAAGTGCACTAACAGTGTCGAAATTGTATTCAATTACCTTCTTCCTGATATGGTTAAACGTTTACTGTTTAAGAGCAGTTAGTCGCAGTTGGTAATCCATAATTGGGATGATATTTCCAACATAACTGGATTATAATTTTACTTAAGTTAGCTCGGTTTATTTAATATAATTTTCGTTTTTAAAAGGTTGAAAAATTAGTAACAGTACTTGAAACGACAGAATGTAGAATAAATTTTCTCCATTTTTCTAAGATCCCCCAATATATTTAAAAAATAAACAAGTTGACTTCTTAATTAATTGAATGAAAACGCTTTATACACCAATATAAAGTGAATTTATTTTGCGACGTTTCGGCCTGAAGAGAACCCAAGGCCGAAACGTCGCGTAATAAATTCATTTTGTTAAGTTTGGTATAAGTTACGCGTTTATTTATTCGAATGAATTTTACCTTTAGATATGTATATATATATATATCAATTTCTTTGTTAATAAGTAAAGACATAGCTATCTATTTAAAACTTGGAGAATAAACAATAAAAATAATAAGACATTATTTACTTTATCTCCAGTACCCATAAGTCAATTTTATGTAATGGAGAAAATATGAGTAACAGAAGGTAAATAATAAGCTTTTAAATGCACTTTGAAAATACCTTGTATTTAAAATAAAAGCAATTTATTTGTATAAATATACCATTGCCTCTACTTGTATTGTTTTTTGCACCAAAATTATAGCTAGTTATATCCAAAATCACACAATTTCTTTATATATATAAAATTGCTAGGTGACAAACTGAAATTTATATATTTGCAATTTTGTATATATTAAACAAATATGGCAACAGAAGAAAAACCGCCACGAGTCGCACTCAATTAGTCAAGATCACACAATTTCTTCCTATATATATATACAACTTAATATATATTAAACAAATATGGCAACAGAAGAAAAACCACCACAAGATGCGACTCGTCGCCTTCAACCTAAGAAACAAACGTTAGATGATGCTTACGCAGTTCCAGCAAATTTTCTAGAAATTGATGTTCTCAATCCAATTACACACGGTGTAGCACGTAAACGATATACAGATTATGAAGTTAGAATGAGGGTAGGTTTTACTTTCCTTTTTATCCATCACCGGTATTAGTTCCTCTACGTTAGGCTTAATTCCAGCTTATGCAATATAAGCTTCACTTGCTTATTTAGTTAAGACTGACTTCATTTTTTATTTCATGGGTTTCGTATTTAATTACATATATTATTTAACACTAAAAAATCTGACTACATCAATTTTTAACACTAAAAATTTGATTTAAATGATTTATTACATCGTACCCGATCCTAGGAAGGTTGAAAACACACTAATTCTTAACTGACATTAATCTTTTAAATTTAAAAGTAATTACACACTTATACTTTATATAGTTATACGAAGTTCAAAGTTAAATAATGGCCAACTAGCTCTACTACTACTACTTTATTATACTAGCATTGTAGATGCATGTATAAGGTTCGAAGGGGGCTTCTCCCCCAGTTACACTTAAGGTTGGTGTGAAAGAAAAATAGATGTATTTTCTTTACGGATGAGAAAATGTTTAGAATGTGGTTGCTATTGGCAACCTTCTTTTATCTACCATGTAGTTGGTCACGATGCCTTTATTTCACAAATCATGACCCTATTTATTTTGTGTACCGTTTGGTTGTACAATATCACTGAAACCTGGTTGAATTCAAAGTCTGTGGCGATTGGTTTTCTGTTTTATTGTATTGCCATACCTCTCCAGAAAGTTTGACCCTACTTGTTGAAAAACTCTGACATGCATGGTTTAATCTAGTTGATAAACCGGTGAATTGTTTAACCGTATGCGTTTATAGATGTCAGAAAAATGTTTAAAAACATAGATTAGGCTGTATATATATAGTAGAATGGGCTTAGATTTTTATCTAATAAGTTAACAAAAAATTGGCAGTTGACACGGGAAATTGAAAAAACTGTGATTAACTGCCACAAATCCAACTACCGTCACAAATTCGGTTATTAGAACCCTAGGAAATGAGACGATATACTAGATTTTGGATGTATTCCTGTTTTCAAAATGTGAGCTCTTGTTTGGAAGATCACACTAAGATTTTTCTTTATGAATTTTAGTTCTTTTTTTCACCATAAATGTAAAAACTACTTTCAGACATACTTTGAGTTTTAAGTTTTACTTAAAACTTTTCCCTGTAAAAAATGTTGTAAATTCCTTCAGTTTCAGAGCATAATTTCATTGGACAGTGTTTCTCTAGTAAAAAATTCAAAATTGAATTGATGTTGTTAAAATGTGAAATATTATATATTAGCTTGTCTAATCTTCAGCCAGTTTTGTCAAAAACACTGCAACTCAGTGAAACCCATTATGAGAAAAAATGGGAGTGAAATCCACTGTGTGAAGAACAAGGGAAGTAAAATACACTGTGTGAAGAACAAGGGAAGTGAAATCCACTGTGTGAAGAACAATTTAAGGAAAGTAAAATACACTGTGTGAAGAACAAGGGAAGTGAAATACAGTGTGAAGAACAATTTAAGGGAAGTGAAATCCACTGTGTGAAGAATAATTTAAGGGAAGTAAAATACACTGTGTGAAGAACAAGGGAAGTAAAATACACAGTGTGAAGAACAAGGGAAGAAACTGAGCACAGTACTTTATTTCCATATTTAGCAGTTCAGATTTAAAAAATATCGTAAATTTTCTGAGCATAAGTGACCAACATTGTGTGGCCTAAACCACTAACTCTTCGATGTTTGAGTAGTTGCAAAGATTACTTATCGATGGTACAAGAACTACCAGGCTTTCAGTCATACAAAAAGAGCTGCATTGAATATTTTTCTGAACATGGGTGGGATATTTTATTTATTTTATATTAGATTATTTTTATTTCAAAACACCAAATCTGTTTTATTTTTCAAAGTACGTAGTTTCTTCAGTATAACAAACTCCTGTTTTTACATTCTTAACTACTACTTGATTTACTTCATCAAGCCAGGAAACAAAGCCTATTTTACAACCTGTGTAATCATTAAACTTGGTTACCTGTTGTAGTGAATTTCAAAACGAGGCACACTTTGGAATATGGTAACTGTTAAAATAAGAATATCCATAGACATACACAGTTAAACTTGGCAAATAACTGTATATATATATATATATATATAATAATTAATTTTTGATCCTGGTTAAAAATGTCTAGAAAATAACCCGATTTCCAGGAAGATTAATGGTATTTAAGATGTAATTATTTACCTTAATTTTATAGGTAGTCCCGTGTTAACTTTCTGTTAAATATGAAAATGGGATCAAATTGGAAAGGATATAAGTGGTGTTTCGTTTGTACTGATTTATTGAAATTAAATCTAATTGAGTCTCTAATCATTCTATTTGAAGCTCTCGTAAAAACTTCATGTTCAATCTGAAGCTTATTTTGATGATAAAATACGCAGTTAGTTTCCAAATTAATACTGCAAATTCTTTATTGATACATTTTACAAGTTTATCACCAGGTGATGTTTCTGCTTTCGAGGTAAATGTGTCATAAACAGAAAACTTATCCCCAAACCTAGAAACTAGAGAAAATTCTGGAAAAGTTGGACATTTTGAAAAAGGAGTCATAAAGATGGGTAAAAATCCCATAGCCTGGAAAAGTTTTTATCTTGGAACCTTCACCTGCTTACAAGCAATGTTGTTTGTCAATGCCAAGTATTGATATATATATATTGTAATTGTCTTGATCAGTCGCTTTACTGTTATTCAGTGTACTTGGTAGTCGGTTAGGTCAAGTGTTCTTTTTGTCTGCCATCAAGTTGCAGTGTCTGTACATCTGTAGAAGTTTTTATTATCCAAAATACCTAGACTTAAAGTTGTGTTCATTCAGTAGACTTATGAAGAATATCAAATAGAACTGTGTGATTTAATCAAAATTATAATTAAATTGGTTAATCAAAATTACAGTTTCTCATCGCTCCTCTTTTCGATTATTCCATTTGTACAAGTACTCAAAATATTGCCACTAAACCTGCCCATCCTGTGTTTGTTATGGAAAAAAAACTCTACTAAGGTTATCAGTCACTGTTGCTAAATTTGAACTTCTGACTAGAGGAAAAGCAACTGACTGGCAGCATCTACAGCCAATTTTTTTTTTACTTGTTGGTATCGTTAATCTAAAAGTCCATTGTTATACTTTTATCAACTTGAAATTTTAAGAAAATAGATAGGTATATACAGCAGAAACTTTAATTTAACACTTCACAGGAATTACTGGTGATATAACACTTCACAGGAATTACTGGTGATATAACACTTCACAGGAATTACTGGTGATATCACACTTCACAGGAATTACTGGTGATATCACACTTCACAGGAATTACTGGTGATATCACA